TCGAACCCAGACGTCCCTTGCTGAGGTCTGCAGGTCTGAAAGTCGACAGGTCCACCAGCAATTACCCTCGAGTTAATATGCGGCAACCCGCTCTCTGTCAAGAGCATTTGCATCTATATTGGCCTCCATTTATATGTATGTGTATATCTATATATTTAATCACAAGCAGTGTGTTGCAGCATCATGTTTCGGGAAAATCGTTTGACGAAGTCCTAGGCTTCCGTACGGAATTGATCCGAAATTATGCCACTCGAAGATCCATGTATCCGCGGAAGAGCAGAAGCTTTCACGATCATCATCTGCGAGCTCGCTCTGTGCGCGACCGATACGGAATCGACTCGAAAGAGCTCCGGTATTGACCCAAGATGGAAGGAACTCATGAGACTGGAAACATCCCCCAAACAGGATCGGCGCTTCCTCGAGTCTTCTCTTCCAGTTGTTTGTTCTTGTCGTTCCAGTCGCTCGACGACTAGCTCAGAAAACCCAACAGACGACAAGAGTATGTCCCTCCGAGTTTCCGTTCCCTCGGCTCTTAGTTCGTTCCCCGATCCCTTCTGTTCCAGAGGCTCAGTTTCGCTGCGGGCATCACTTCGGGACCGCGGCGGAACATGGTCTGCAGTTTTCCCTCCCAGGACGCTGAGCTGTCAGAAAATACTCCGGAACGACATCCGCTGGGTATGCGTTCAAAGTTGTGAATCAGACATCCTCTGAACGCTTCCGGAGCTCCTAAGGAGGCAATTTCAAGATTTGAGAGGCCCGAGTCCTCGAACGCCCATAATGTCCCGGCTCTTTGCTCTTTGCTAGGATTCCGCTCCTCCTCGACGGGCGCATCTGCTCGAATCCTCGAGAGCTAAATACTTTCTTTCCATTCATTACGTTTTCGGTCTCGTGAGGGGCCTGGGCCGAGTCGACGGACGGTGTAGCTGGCCCCGCGTTCTGTAACCTTGGCTCGCGTAGGTCACCATGAAAAAGATAAATCGCCGGTCCGAAAACTCCTCGACTAAACGGAACGATTACTTTCGCTTCTACGCATTGTACGCTGAGAATTAATAACGCCAGATGTTTGCTCGTTGGAGGGCATCCACGACTCATATACTACGACGACGATGGAAACAAATGGACTAGGTCTCTCGACGGGAGGAGAGAAAGAGGAAAATCCTCTCGGCACAGCACGATTCAAGTCTCCGGGACGGAAGCAGCGATGTCAACGAGCAAAAAAAAAGCGGCGGCACTGGCAACAACCACGAAAACGGTAACGGTAGCGAAGCCAGAAACGGGGCGGCAATGTCTGTTTTTCGCTCGACCCGCGAGTTCGATCACGCTCATCTTCCGCGGGAAGTCAATCGAAGCAGTTCGGTTCGCTCTGCGACCGCCCGCGGATGAACGAGTACGACCACGAGGACGTCTCGATTAGTGCAGCGATTCGTTCCGAACCACGAGTTGATGAGAAGCTTCCTCGATGACCAGAACAGGAGGCCCTCCAGAGAGCGAGCTCGTTCCCCTTGTCAGGCTCATCTTAGAGTATGCAGCCGACGTCAGGGCGATTTCCTCGTTTCGTCACCGCTTTAAACGCTCAATTATCAATGATCTCTAAATTACCCTCCAAGCCATACACAGCAGCAGGGATACCACTTCTATGCACAATGGAATCGTCTGGCAGAAAGTCAGCAGCTCGCGATATTCGCTCGCCGCGGAAACTCCGGCCGCCAAGAATTCATGGCAAGGAGGAATGCGAGTCCCTTGAGGGTGCTCCGCGAGTGAGTAGGTCTTCATAATATTCTCCAGAACCGCAGCGGTCCGGGGCTCCTCGTAGCCCTCGGAAGCCTCTCAGCAGACGCTACACCTTGTCGAGAAGTAGCTCTCCCAACATGAGGTTATTAGAGCCCGATTAGCAAGAGGAGCATTCGATCAAGACCGTCTCCGCGGACCACTCCGTCTTGGTCTCGACGTCATGACGGAGGACCAACTGTTGTAACAAGTGTACGCTCGCGACCCTAACCAACTCTTTGATGCTCGTCGTACGATGGAGAGAGAGGGAAGACGAGAGAACCAAAACACCGCGCGGCTTTGTGAGCGGACGGGCGATCCCTGATGGAGCATCTTGAGAAGAATTCGTGAAATTACCCCCGCATCCAGCGTCCAACAACAAGAGCGGCGTCAGACGCGAGCCCACGAGCAGACCGTAGTTTTGAGGGCGCAAATTGCATTTCCTCCGTCTTTACTTCTCTGCTCGCGCCAGAACTTCAACCGCAACAGACCAAGGTTCTGATGGTGATGATTACGTCAGTGTCGGCACCCGGCGTGATCATCAAGACGCTTATTACCATGAGCATCGTCATCATCATCGAAGACAGAGCATGCCGTGCTCTGGAATCCGAATAATAATATTTTCGAGGGTTCCCCGTTCGCACGAGAATTTCCGCGAAACTCCGCGCTCTTATTTCTTGTATTCGTTGACTTGTAGCGACGGTCACGGAAGATCGAGGGAATCTCCGGAGCAGCTCGTCTACGGCATCGTTGGCATCCAGGCAATACTTCCGCCCAGCTGATCTGCGCAACGAAGAAGCCGAACGGGGAATACCGGCCTACAGCTCCGCGAGCTCTCCGCGTTCATTGCAAATACGGGCAACTAGTGAGCGTAATGCAGAAACAGTTTCACGCATCACTAGCTCTCGGCTAACCCAATAAGCCGGCCGGGCGAGTGAGCGACCGGCCAGCCAGCCAGCCAGCCAGCCAGCCAGCCAGCCAGCCAGCCAGCCAGCCCGCCCGCCCGCCCGCCTTCCAGGGTATTCTCAGTGGCGGAGGCCAGCGGAGGCGATTCCCGGAAACACAGAGCAACTGAAGCTCGATATTTACACCTGAACACGGGCATTGATCACAAAGTATTCGTGAACCGCAGAAACTCCGTGCTGCTGTGTCTGGAGTTTTCGTTACGCACTGCTCTCAGTCGATGGAGGAGTAAGCGGGGCGGAGGGTTCCTCACAGTTCGTCAAGAGAAAATAATTCCCAGCGTTTGCCCGGAGAAATCACTTTTGCGAAGGCCAAGGTAATCCCCGGCGGGATTTGTACGAACGGCGTAAATCCGATGGATTCGCTGATTACACCAACGACTCGAAGACCGGTTTAAGGGATGACAGATCAATCGGATATTCAAGGTCGTTAGTTCCATCGGGATATGAGCTGGTCGAAAAAAAAAACAGGAGGATAGAAATTTCTCGAGTAACTACCAGAGCGGATGGCAATCACAAATCACCGCAAGTTGTATCAGTTCTCTAATCGATGGCCTTCCAGACCTCTCGGAAAGTTCGGTCCTAGTTTCGAGTTCACTTGTTCCCTCCCGGTACATACTTCGTTCTTTGATTCTCGGTCTCCGACGCTGAGCGAGAGCGAACTCTTGGCGGGAATCCAAGGATCCCTCCACTAACGCTCGACACTAACTCGCACAGTTCGTATTCTTCTTGATTCTTCTGAACAAACTTTCCCGCTGTCAGTCTCCGCCGTTCCGTCTCTCGCTTTCAAGATTCAGAACACGTCCCCATTCGTTGAGATTCCTCGACAACCGTGAGATAGAGGACTCATGTCTTCTTCGTCTCCGGGAGAAACCAGGAGAATTTACGAAGAAAGAGAAAATGACGAATAAAGCCGGGAAGGACAGATAGAGGAACTCGCTCGAACGGGGACATTTAGACCGGAGGGTAGAAAAAGAGTCCGAGAACGGAATGGAGAAAATAAAGACAATGAACCTGGGCAGAGGGGGCGACGACGCTCACGGAATCGTCGTTTCCGTGCGCGTCGTTAAAAGACGATTTATCACTGATTAAGGAGGAGCTGTTTCGAGGAATGATCATTGTTTTCTTCTATCTTCCGGGAATCTATGAGCACCAAACCCTCATCACAAGAAATAAAGTCCTCGTAACCCAATCGTCTCGATTCCCGCGCTCTCGTCGAACATGACCACGTTCGATCCATCGACGTCGCCGTCACGTCGAAAACAATCCCTGGGTACCTACATGCATTTCCATTCGATAGTTTTCGGTAGTCCTCGATGGTTTTCCACGACGATCGTAGGTGTTCTTGAGCTTGTTTCTCATCCCGTCTTTTAGATCGCGTGGGCTCGTCTTCCTTTCATGGGCGATTCTCATCGCTTACGTCTGATGTAACTCTATCATCGACACTTCGGGATTTTCCGTCGGCAACGAGACTGTCGTTGAAGAGAACAGCCAGATAACCGAACGACCGCCCAGGTGGGCCGATGGGTGGGCGAGTAGGCAGGTAGGTAGATCGACGCCAAGGGCTTCGATATATTATTTACACGGTGTACGTCCATTGTCAATCTGAGCCGGCCCGTCGGCTGTCCGTCCGTCTGACTGAACATCCGAACGACCGACCGATCGGCTGCTTACGGAGTATGTACTACTAGCTGGATGGCAGGCAGGGCGGTCCGGGATCTCGTTGCCTGATCCTGTACGGTCGTCCCTGCTGGCGCTGCAGGACGCTCCAGTGAACACGATCGCTTTGCCACCACCTATTGCTATTCAATGAGTGAGCTCCAACGTTGCAAACTTTCACTAAAGCTCACAGCGATAATAAGCAACAGGACAAAAACTGACGTTCAATGAGACCGCGATTGTCGTGGTTCTCACGCCCCCCCCCCCACATGACATTTCCTGATGGATCCTGCCGGACTGCCTTGATGCCCCGGAGCCCGGAGCATTTTGTCCGTGGGGGAAATTTCCGCGAATCGGTATCCGCGGGTGAACGTCCGCGCAGGCGATTTAATTCCTGGGGCTTGTGACGCCGGCTGTAAGCATGGATTCGGATGCGCGGAATCCGAGCGCTCATTGTCTTATCGGATTCCGATTCTAATCTGCCGATAGATGGTGTTGGGATAAGCGACGAGTGTCATGGAATCGCTCCGGCTATCGTAACCTTTAATACCTTAATCCCGCTGGGAGTGAGCATCGGGATATTTAAACCGATCACGGTCTCGCATTTCCCGCAGTTCCTGGTTTTCGAGTGGATCTAACGAAAGTAAGTGAGATATTCTACCGCGTGATTTTGCCTAAATCCGTCGCAATAAAAGATCAGAGGCAATATCGGGAGTGAGCCGATCGAGCGAATTCCGTACGCACACACAGCGTGCGGGTTCCTCGCGAAATCAGCGGTCGATCCGTAGACATCTACGCGAGATGCGCCCTCGGTCTGCGGCACTCAGGCAGTAATTCCTCGGGAACAGCTTTTGTTTGAACAGCGATTCCCTCTGAGGCAAACAGGCATGCATTTATGTATGCATGAGAGCCACCGAGCGCAGCCAATAACGTGGTGGCCTAAGGCCCTGACATTGCTCTTTCATCCATTCATTGGTCTCTTGCTCGTTCGCTTCGCCCGTGTCGACTCGCGGTTCGTCCCTATGGGGAACGAGCAGCTCGGCAACAGGCGAGCTCCATGGCTTCGACCGGGTGCAGTGACAGAAACTTTTTATATGACATCTTTTTTTTTCGTCTGTCCCGCAGCACAACGAGTTCATCATGAGAGCTCTCCTGAGCGCCACGTTGGCAGTGCTTCTAATAGCGGGTGAGTCTAGAGCACAAAGATCATGTCTCTGTGTCGTTGACGCACGTCTCTTGTTGCTGAACTAACCACATTCTTCTCTTCTCGGTTTCTGTCCGATCTTCTTGTAGCCGTCACCGCTCAATCTAGCGAGCAGTAAGTAAGAACGAGCTGGCTTGTTGGCTCTTGTTTTTTCTCCGGCGACAGTGGCTCGTTCCTTTATTTATTTTCCGCCCTATCGAAGAGAGACCAGTGGAGATCTCGTTCAGCTCAGAGGTCGTCGTCATAACCAATAGTCACAATGGCATTGCTTTCAAGATCCCGACCGGTCCGATCCAGAGATCGAAGAGTTGTCAGATTCGATGAATGACGTTTCTTTTCGTCTCTCTCTCCGTATTCCAGAAGCCACGAGGATGTTCCGGTCACGGACATTATCGAGAAGATCAGCCATGTCGTCTCGAGCCTCGGAGGCTTCGAAGGAACCATCAACAAACTCGGCTACATCACGAAGCTCGTCGAGAAAGCCTACAACGACAACGGTATCGGTGGCTGGATGGCTCGTAACCTCATCAAGATCGAGCTGAATCAACTCAAGGAAAAGGCTCTCCACACCGAGAAGGATATGATCAACGGTCTGCTCGACCACCTCGAGACCAAGATCGGACTCCGGGCCTACAGCGCCTATAGCACCGAAGTCGCCGAGAGCTACGTTTTGAACGAAGCCGTGAAGAACGTTATCGCCATCATCCGCGAGAACATCGAGCAGATCAATACCGAGATCGCTAAAGCTCAGTTGGAGCACGACGAGGCCGCCGGAGAGATGCGTAAAGACGCGATGAGCAACATCATCGGACGTCTGAACAACCTTCGCGAAAAACTCGGCGGACTCACCCAGAAGCTCTTCGACAGACTCACCGGCCGGAACAAGAGCCCAGAACTCTATGGCGCTGATGCCGGACTCCGATACGTTGCCCTCCACGGAAGTGACTCATCGTACATCATCAGCGAGATGGTCAAGGTCGCTGCCGAACAGCTTCGCGCGCGCGTCTTCAAGTTGGTTGAGAAGATGGGTGAGGCCAAGCGTGAAGTGCAGAAAGCTTTCGGTCAGAACAAGAAAATCGTTCAGGAACACCTACGAGAGCTCCAAGAGCGACTCGGACAGTCCCTCGCTGAGCTGAAGGACGCTCTTCTGGGCAGGAAAATCGTGGAAGAAATCGAGGAGGACATCAAGGACCAGGATAAGGTCGAGGTCGAGGCGAAACTCCTGACCTCCCAGAACTACGTGATAAAGTCGACCATCAAGAATCTTGTGGAGAAACTCCGCGTCAAAATCCTCCAGGTCATTGAAGAATTGAGCAAAGCCAAGCGCGCGGCCGAACAAGCGGCGGGAGAGGCGAAAGACTTCGCTCGAGTCCACCAGGAAAAGCTGAGGGAGCAGTTGAAGAAGCTGACGCAAGACGCCATCGACGCCATTCGCGGTGAGAGAAGCCCCGAAGAGATCGAAAGAGACATGGAGTAGCCTCTGTCAGATGTCGTCGCCGTTGAAATCACGTGACTGGACCTCCAGGTTTCGAAATCTCAAAAGCTTGTAATAAAGGTATTCAGCTGCGCTGCAGCACGTGATGGAAAAAAATTCGATCGTGGAATTTTTTGAGATCCTCCGAGTTCTCTTCGCTTCCTCGACCCCGTGACGTCCCGCACGACCGAGTTCCGGGGTAGCAGCATTCTTTCCGAAACAGGCTCGGCGGCTCAAAAATCTACCTACTCGAGACGTCGAGCAAACATCTAGGGCTTTGAATTCGTTTCCATGCACTGTGTGCTCAGTAAGCGGTTACGCGAGACGCTCGATTCCCAGACGAGTCTGAAGACGCCGTCGGCCGCCCTCGGAAATTGTGAGCGCGACTCGTTCCGAAAATACACTGATCGGTAGACAGAGAGATTCCAAACAGCGGAATGGAGAAAAGCCGGGGAGCTCGCATCACAGTCAAATCAATCAGCGGAGGCCTGATTTGAGAAACGAACAATCAGAGCCTCCCCCCTCCCTCCATACGCTACGCCGCGAGATGCCAATAATGGCACATTCCGCAATCCTGTGGCTTTGTCCATCAGGTTTCTGGCTGCGATAGCATGACGCCAAGCGCGCGTCAAGAACATCGAATCTCGCGACAGCCCGGCATTGCGCGAGACGCCGAGACAACAGGGAGGTTTGTGTTGACAAAAAAGACTCCCGGAGCTGGTAACGGATTCGATAAATAGGACAAGCCGTGCCGTCGAGCGGGCACGGAGCAAACGAAAAGAAAACTAACGAGAGGAAGAACAAGCAAGCACTAAAGTGCAGACAGTCGCCAGGCCGACCGGACGGGCGGGCGAGCCTGCAGACTGCAGCACAAAAAACAATTACCCGCAATCAGCTTCAGAAAACGTCATTCCCGTTCTTCCGCCGCCACCCGCTCGCTCTCACCCGCAACCGAAAACATCAGGCCCTCAACACCCGATGCACGAAACGACAAAGCCGGCAAAGCAAGAAACAGTCCGAGTGACATCGGGATGCGAGCACCTTAAAATAATGACATTTGATGAAAGCTCACAGGAGGATTCAAGCCAGCGACCGAAATACCCAGCCGAGGCTCGTGGCTACCGACGATAATGGGTGCCGTTGTTCGTGCCACGACTCTACTCAGAGGTGGGCACATGTCGTCGAGCCTTCGTGATTCCGATGTCGTGTCCGCATGATGCGCTTTCCCGTTCATCTTTTCTTCTATATTGATGGAAGGGGGAAAAAACTCGTCACGCTCGACTACTGTGACGGATTGTCCACAATGAGCTCGAAAGGAGAAGAAAGCAATCTTTGTTTCTTTCTTGGAGAATCTCAACGAGTCAGGCGCATAGTCGAGTTCCTCTTTTCTGCTCTACGAACGGAAGTATTTTCAGCAGATGGCCCAACGTCTTCGTACAGAACAGACAGACTCTGACAGAATCGAACAGCCCACAACAGAAGCCAACACAATCCGACAAGCTTCGATTCGCAATCCGAAGGATCTCCACATATCTCTCGGGAGACAGATCAGTGGAAGATTCCTTTTTTCCTTTCTCCATCCGCCCACGGAACGCTTCTAAGCCTCCAGTTCTTCCATTGACCCGACCGCAGCGAAGGCAGAGGAACCCGGAGCGGAGAACCGCAATGCAATCGAATGCTCGGTCCTGGCTTTAGCCTGACTGACTGGGGAACACCTCAAGGCTTCAGGGTATTTACCCGACTGTATTCGCCGTCGTTGAGGACTGCGGTCCCATAGAGAGAGAGAGGAGGACATATAGAGAGACAAAGGGAGAGAGAGCGAGACACAAAAAATGAAACCCAGATAAAAACATCCCGGATGACCCTCACAAAATCCTGCGTGGGATAAACGCCTCGCTCGACGTCAAGCTCAATCTTGAGCGTACTTCACCTCCTCGGTTGCTTGCTCGGAACAAGAACCTTACATGCTGATACAGGGAAATTTTCACACACTTATATGTGTACTAAGTCTCCTGAAAGAGGTTCGCTGACAAACTCGTTCCCCTGGGTACTCCAATAAACATCACCGAACGACACGAGCAGCGCTGCGGTTGAGGGGTGGAAGAAGTGCTCCCGCTTGGACTTCCTGCTTTGACAGTTGGTCAGTCTCGCCTGCTGCCGGCCGCTCTCCGACATTCTCCTCCTCTCGGCCAGCCGGTTGCTCCTCCGAGAAACTGCTGATCTAAAAGCAGACGAGAGTGCTCAGGGGATTGACTGGCATGCTTGCTGCTGCTGCTGCTGCACTGGTTAACTCGTTGTCAATGGGTCATCCGTCATGAACGAAAGTGAAAGCCGACAAGAGCGGGCAACGGCGGCAAGTCATCCGGGGGAACTCGCTAGTTTACCTCTGGGCTCTTTCTTCTTCTTCTTCTCGCGTCCCCCCGCGCATTTCCGCACCTCTGGCATGAGAAAAAAATATGTACGTTTCGCCGAAAACTGATTTTTTCCATCGCTCCCCCGTCGCGTCGTTTCCTCGATTGCGTTCCCCTTGCGGTTGTTGTGGCTCGTGATACGGTCCACTGGGAAGTAAGACCAAATCAGTGGTAACGAGAGGTCAATTCGATTTGTGGTTTCTGCAATATCGAGCTCGGAAATTGTGTTTCAACTTCCGGCCTCGCGACCCAATACCAGCGGCAGACCCGACTCCTGTGTAGCACACGGCTTCTCGCTCCATCGTTGCTCGCCGCTGCCGACCCGGCTTATATATGTTGTACATATATCCTCTAAACCCATCAGAAGACCCATAGCGCGAAGTCGGTGGGCACCTTCCACAACCCACAGGGTGCAGTAACCTCCTTCGAAATACCTCGTACGACCCACACACACAAACATCTCTCCTGACCTCTATTTTCGATTCGCTTCTTCTGGGCACCCCAAAGAGAGAAGTGAGCAAGAAAAAATCCCCGAACACTTATCTCCACCGAGCATTTTTTGGAGGTCTGTGTACACTACTCTCGTCCACTGGTGTCAAAACTTCTTCCGCTAAATTTGCCGCTGTATGGAGCGCCTGCTCAGTGGATTGATGCTGATTCAGAAAATCTCGGGGAGAATCAGAGCTCAATTGAAGGAAGTCGGCGATCGGAAACGCTCAGGAGGGATGGCACGCTCGATTGGAACGAGGGAATATGTTTGAAGAGACCGAATGTGAAAATACATCAAATGGAGGACCGCGATTCGGCCAGTGCAGGGGACAGATCCACAAAGAGGAGAAAACGCAATAAAATGATTAAGCTGCGAGAGGGAATGCCGCGATAAAACCTCAGATTGTCCCTGACCCGACGGTCGTGTCGCCTTGTCTCGAATGTGTCCACGAACAGCTTGAGCACTTGACTCCTCTTCTATGGTCGTCGAGCCCGAAGCTCTCGTTGTCGAATGTCGGCAGAGGCGCGGGAGTGGCTTGATGGTTCAATGTCTAATCCGCGGTCAGCTTGCTGCCCTGCGGGTTCGACCTTTCTCCGGATCCCACCACTTTGATGTCGCAAGCGCAGTATAGTTTCTTTTTCAACTCTCGAACCGAATCCGCCTCATACGAACCCAGCAGGTCACAGCGAGTAGCATTTTACTGTTGAGGAGTGGGAACTTCCAAGCGCTCGGAGACCGCAATCGCTGATTTTATGATGCGCGAAGAACCGTTTCATTATCGTTTGATTCCCAGGCTGGACAATGGTACGATTGTCCGCTGGAATGACGATACGGGCACCACATGAAACGGGGAACCTTGTGGGCGTCATCATTATCCCGGCGAATGGGATCTCATTTTTTGCACCGGAACAACGAGAGCTCTCTCTGTTTTTTGCCTAGCCCATCGGAACAATTTTCGGATTAGCATATTTCTGAATGCACGCTCCCAATTACAGGGTTCCGTCGTCCACTGCCACCTCAATCGCTCCCTTCTTCGAATGGCTGGGAGCGTACGAATCGAGGCCTTCCGTCGGACGAACCGCCGGGGATTCTTCAATCGAGACCAGCCTGAGAGAGAATAACTTTTCCTAATCGTCGCCACTCCGGATCTCTCTAGAAATCGGCTCAACTCTATCTCCCATTCCCATCTCGCTTTGAATAGCAATTTCATTCAGGTGTGAATGGAGTCACTGCCATCGTTAGGATTCTCATTACAATCAGGAGTCTCATAGGGAGCTGTTCGAGATTATTTCCGACGGGGAGCATCGAATACTAAACTCATTTCATCCCCGACCGGGACGCTCAACTCCTCTGAAATTTCGTCCGCTGGTCCGACCCCCCCGGTCCCTCCGCTCCAATCCCCGACCTCCCCACCGCCGATGATGTTCAATCCCCTAAAAATGTGATGAGTATTCTCCATTCGGCTGGTAACTACCTTTCGTGATCTGCGCGTGAGTGACTCACTCTCCCACTCTACCGACTGGCTGGTCTGCTCGGTGTCCAGAGCGGCTGGGAACTTTTGAATCGTGTTACCCAGCCTCCGCCATCGTCCTGGCAATGATCAGCGCGCTCGGGAGGCGCATGGAATAGCTGAGTTATTATTGGCATTCGTTCTTCAAAAAAAAATGCAGCGTATCTTCTCTTCGAGGTTCGAGCTGCAGAGACGCGCCTTTTTCCCCAAGTGTCGGAGGCCCTAGTTTTTCCGAGGCCTTCTTCGGGAGACATTGCGGATAGGAACCGAAAACTGGGCCAACTGCGTCCGTGGCGCAAACTGCTGATTGCCTCTCAAGGAATGCTTCCTTGAACGCTTCGCGCGAAAATCTCACGAACTCACCCCACAACCCGAGCGGATGAGAGAAAAAGCAAGCATGAAATAGCCGTGTCAGTTTCATTGCAGCTTCAATTCTGATTGAGTGTGCATCATCATGACGGCGCTTGTCAAATAGATCTCGCTCGCTGTCTCTCTCAATGCGCGAACGGTGTTTCTTGTGACAGCTACATTTTTGTGACTGCGAATCCAATGAGACCCGATGCGCGAATAGCCCGTCCTGATCGCATGCTTCGCGTGCGAGGTGCCGCTCCTCTCCCTGTGGATGGACAGACAGGCGGACAGATGGACCGACCGACCGACCGACAGAGGGACTCGTATGAAGAGCATATCGTTGGGTGAGGACCAG